CGGGCAGAGATTTTCAGAGACAGGAGAGTGGACAGAGAAAGGAAGGAAGGAAGATGGAGGAAGAGAAAGATGATCCAGATTCTGAATGGCTTTAAATAGCCACAGGTAGCTATGAATATCTTATAAGGGATAGATAATTACTGGACAATTTGTCTTAGCTAGGTGTACAATTTTTGTTAATATCAATTGGCCACCAGAGGATTTAGATTTAACATGTCTTACAAATTAGGATTCTAGTTGATGTGCCCAGTGATTGAGTTATCATTGATTCTGAACTAAGTTTGTGTGGTAGTTTCCTTCATGTGGGGGCTTGACTGGGTTCCAGAGAGAAAGGTACAGTGACAAAGTGTGGGTTTGCCCGATGTGCACCACAAAAGGCCATGTGAGTTTTGAAGCATGGGGCTGGCATGGTAGTGACCAGCCAGTGTGAACTTAGCAAGCTGGGTGGAGAGATTTTGGAGCTCTGAGTCAGAGAGTCTCCATGAGATAAGAACAGGTCGGCCATTGTCCGACAGTGCCTGGCTGGCCAGCCTGTCAGCAACTTGCTGGCAATAGTGTGGATTCTTTTTTAATACTTCCCACAACAATTTCTGACTAGTTTTGCTTTGGCTGTCTGTTTTGTTGGATATTAGAATATCTATGCTTGTATATTTCTTGGGTCCATTTGCTTAGAATCGCTCTTTCTAGCTTTTTATTGTAAATGTAAAAAATGTATTTTTTGATGTTAAGTTTTGTTTCTTGGAGGCAGCAAAAGATAGATTCTATCTTCTAATCCAAATTGTTAGTTCATGAGTTTTTATTGGGGATTTAAGACCATTAACATCATTATTTAATATTTTGTATTTTGTCATTTTTTTGTGGTATTTTCTTAGACCTCTTTAGATGAATGGTTCTGAAATAGTTATTTTATTCCCTGTGACTTCATGTATGTGTGTTTAGTCTTGCCTTCAGAGAAAGTATTTCTTCTAGTGTTTTCTGTAGAGCTGGCTTATGGGTGAGAAATACCTTAAATCCTTTTTTATCATGATTTTTCCTTTAATTTCAATAGATAGTTTTGCTGGTTATAACATTCTTGGTGGGTAGTTGTTGTCTTTCAGACATGTAAATATACGTTTCCACACTCCTTTGGCTCAAAAAGTTTCTGTAAAATAATCAGGAATTATTTTGATGGACTTACTTTATAAGTTACTTGGCTTTTCTGTTTTGTAGCTTTTTAGCACTATTTATTCTGTATTTTTAATGTTTTAACTAAAATATGTTGTAAAGACTTTTTTTCTTACTGGCCCCATTTATTTGTAATATTGTAGGTGTCCTGTACATGGATAATCATTTATTTCTGTAGGTTTAATATGTTTTCTGATATGATATTTATTGAAAACATTCTCTATGCTTTTGCTATGGTATTATTCTGTGTCCATAGTCTGAATGATGAGTATTTTCATGGTGTTCCAAAACCTTCCTACTTTCTGTTTCTACCTCTTTTCAAAGTCATCATTGACTTTTACTGAGTGATCTAATTCCTCTCTGTTGTCTTCCATCTCTCATACTCTGTTTGCCACTTGCCCATTTTATTGGTGAGGGTTGCCTCTGCGTTTCTTCATTTGGCTTTTTAAGTTTTTCAATCCTAGCATTATTTCAATCCTGGTTTCCTTTAGTAATCCTATCTCTCCTTTCATATCTTGGATTGACTTCTGTAGTATCTACTTTCCTATTGCTATAATAAAACACTGTGACCAAGGCAGCTTACAGAAAGAAGAGTTTATTTGGACTTACTGTTTTCGAAGGATGAGAATCTATCATAGCAACAGGTGGTAGGCATGGTGGCTTCTAGCAAAAGCAGAGGCATCACATTTCAAATTACAAGCAGGGAAAGAGAGAGAGAAAGAGAGAGAGAGAGAAAGAGAGAGAGAGAGAGGGAGAGAGAGAGAGAGAGAAAGAGAGAGAGAAAGAGAGGGAGAGAGAGAAAGAGAGAGAGAGAGAGA